TGTAACTGTTGGCAGAATGTAAAGTGAATAACATTCTAGAACGTATTATAATTACATGTTTGATATAGATTTAGTTCAATATACCATATTGTACTCTTAGTCTGTGTTTTATAGTCATGTCAACTTTGTTTCTCACATGGTAAGCATTTTTGCTCCCTTCATAAAAGGCAATTAAATTAATTATTAAAGTTTTAGGTACAGTATTTACACAAACATTTTTTTATCCATGATTATGACCATAAACAAACAATGTCAATGTAGTATTCTCTGCTATTGATTGATTAATATCAAATCCACGGTGGTGAAAAGTGAGGCATGCATGGGTTGAACTAAGAACAAGTCCACATAAGTACTTGAATATTAGTAGTTGCTTTTTCTAAACTTAGCACACAGCATTTTGGAGTAAACGTAAAGACTGGTCAGCTGGGTTTTAAAATAATATGAGTATGTTACTAGTCTCAGTCTTATTGTGGACAGTTATCTAGTAAACTCATACATTAAAAATAGGCACTGGCTACGGTTAAATGGAAATGTAGCAATATTGGTACATTGGATAAAATTGAGAATGGAAATAGGGAATGTGTCAAAGAGACAACAACCCGACCATAGAGCAGACAACAGCCGAAGGCCACCAATGGGTCTTCAATGCAGCGAGAACTCCCGCACCCGGAGGCGTCCTACAGCTGGCCCCTAAACAAATATGTATACTAGTTCAGTGATAATGGACGTCATACTAAACTCCAAATTATACACAAAAAAACTAAAATTAAAAATGATACAAGACTTACAAAGGCCAGAGGCTCCTGACTTGGGACAGGCGCAAAAATGCGGCGGGGTTAAACATGTTTTTTTATATCTCAACCCTCCCCCTATACCTCTAGCCAATGTAGAAAAAACAAACGTACAACAGTACGCACAGTTAAACTCAGTTTAAGAGAAGTCCGAGTCCGATGTCAGAATAGGAAACAAAAGAAAATAAACAAAATGACAATAATACATAAATAACAACAGACTACTAGCAGTTACTGACATGCCAGCTCCAGACCCCAATTAAACTGATTGAAAGATTATGTCTTCATCATATGAATATCAGGCACAATCCCTCCTGTTAGGGGTTTAGTATTATACCGTCATAAAATATATGAGAAGAACATAACCCGTGTCATGCCAACAACTGGTTTTAGAATAAATATGTTTAATTCCGATGCAAAGACCCTATAAGTGAATCAATATTAAAGCCAAAATATGCAATTTTTAATGACCTGACAACAGTATCGTAACTATATCCCTTCTTAATAAGTCTGTTTAAAGGTTTTGTTAGCTTTTGAGGTGAACTCTGACATGTTTGTGCTTTGTAAAGAATATTACCATAAAAGATTGGATGTGAAATACCCGAACGTATAAGATGTCTGCATGTTGAGTTATATTTACGAATGATGTCCTTATACCGATGATAAAATTTAGTAAATGTTTTGACTAGTTTATGATATCGAAAACCCTGGTGTAATAATTTTTCAGTAATATATAAATTTCTCTTGCTAAAATCTAATACGTTGTTACATACACGAGCGAATCGTACAAGTTGAGATATATAAACACCATAAGATGGTGACAAGGGAACATCACCATCTAAAAAGGATAATTAACGATAGGAAATGAAAAATCATCTCTTTTGTCATACATTTTTGTATTAAGCTTCCCGTTAATGATATAGATATCAAGATCGAGGAAAGGACAGTGGTCATTGTTATTATTAGCTTTATTTAAAGTAAGTTCAACAGGATAAATTTCTTTAGTATACATACTGAAGTTGTCATTATTGAGAGCCAATATATCATCCAAATATCTAACAGTATTGTTAAATGTTTGTATCAGATGTTGTTTCGATGGGTCTTTGCTGATTTTAGTCATAAATTGTAACTCATAACAATACAAAAACAGGTCCGCAATAAGTGGTGCACAGTTAGTCCCCATTGGAATTCCGATAACTTGACGATATACGGAATCTCCAAAGCGAACAAAAATGTTATCAAGTAAAAATTCAAGGGCAGATATAGTATCAAAGCATGTCCAATTGACATAGCTCTTTTGTTTGTTGCTACTAAAAAATGACCTAAAAGAGTTTGAACATATGTATTCGCATTCCGACTTTTTAAATGCCCATTTAATTAGGTGTGTGAATTTTTTCTTAATAAGAATATGAGGCAAAGTGGTATATAGGGTAGAAAAATCAAAACTTTGAACAGATTCAAAATCACCAATATATGCATGCAATTTATCAAGTACTTCCAACGAGTTTTTGACACTCCAAAAGTAGTTAGTTCCACTATTTTCAAAGGCCTTATTTGAACAATTTATTATCAGGTTTTTGATTGTACCAAGTGTACTAGTAAGTAGAATAGACAATTTAGTAGTGGAACAATGACTTGAAGACGAAATAAATCTATATTTGTAAGGTGATTTGTGTAGCTTCGGAAGCCAGTACATAGTTGGGACTTTCATTGTATTTGGTTCTGCTTGTAAAGAAGTAGCTAATAATTTATGTTTGTTACAGATATCGTTTTCTGAACATGAAGTCTATTTGCCGGAATGCAGAGTTTGGTAAGGAACCGGATAATTACGAATGTAACAATAATAATTTTATTTGTGTCTACGGTTACATTGCGTTATTGTTACATCGTCACCAATGCACTGCAATGTACGATGGGACTAGAAATATGTATTAAAATAAAACTTGAAAACTTCTATTTGATATTTACAAAATTGCCTACTATTTTTAAATTTTTATTTACTGTGACAGTTTCTATAAATCCAGTACGTTGTTTAAGGAGCATGTTTTAGTCCGACGCAGTTTTGGTGAAACCACTCCAAGCAGCAATTACAAACCAGTGATGCGGCATTGTGCACGTCTGTATTGCATACTGTTCAATTCCATTCTGCACTTTTTTTAAGTTAGAAATTTGAGTCTTGATATAGGTTTAGTTTCGATTCAAATGCATCCTAAGTTTTGAATTTTTCACCCAAAACAAATTTGGTAATAGGAATCACTTCATCCATTGTTCAAAGTATAATGACAGTAATAAGGGTAGGTGTGCAGTTAAATACATAGAAGTGAACACTTTTCTCAGTCCAAGTTCTTTTAACAACGAACCATTAAAATTATATGTTTCGCCTTTGGCACTACTAAAGTGTAGCAGTATCTCTTAGAACATCAAAACAACTAATACTTAAAACTATTTAAACACAATTTGTTGAATATAAATAATATAATTATTATTATCATTATTACAGATATTATCTAGTACATATTAAAAAATTAAGCAACAAAACTATTATAGATTAATCTAGCGTACATGGCATTCGTTAATATAACAATAACGCAATGTAACCGTAGACACAAATATTATTGTTACATTCGTAATTAATCGGTTCCTTACCCAACCCTGTATTCCGGCAATTAGTCTCCAATGTAACAATAATTATTTTATTATTGTTACATTTCCATGTAACCGTAGCCAGTGCCTTAAAAATATGGCTCAGCATCTAATACCAGGATTTGTAAATACTCATACATGTATTACATTAACATGTTTTTGTCCTGATATACATTAAATGTTTGCCATTGCACCATAAGCACCATCTTCGCTAGCCAAAGGTCACAAGTTATGATCCACTCCTGTGGAGAGGAAGGGTGTGGATCGTAACCCTTGGCTAGCGAAGATGCATGAATACCAATCTGTCATCACATAAACATACTAAAAAATACATGCACATTAATGTATTAATTATTAAAAATGTTTACGAAAACCATTTAATATACAATGTAGAGAATCACTTCCAACCCGATGGTCTGGGGTTTAAATATATATATGGTCTTACACCCAAGAAATTTTACTTTTCAGTAGAAAAAGTCATGTTGTTAAAAGGAATGGGTTCTGATTGGAAAATGAATGTATAAGTTTCTTACCACATCTGTTTAAAATAGGGACTTAATAAAATATGAACATGCCGATGCTTTATGAATGGAGACTACACCCCCCCCCCCCCCCTTTTAAGTTGCCGATATCCCGATTTTAACATGTGCATTGCTTTGAGTGAATCCGGGTCCGTTCGCGCCCAATCACGTTCGCCCCCATGCACGTTCGCCCCCCTTTCACTTTCGCACCCTACACGTTCGCACCCAAAGTCCGTTCGCACCCTACACGTTCGCGCCCATTTTTTATTGATTTTGTTTTTAATAATTTGTAAACGAGTTTTGGTAAGTGTATTGCTATAAATATATATTTTTTCATTGTTTCTTAATAAAGTGAGATTCTGACAAGGTTTTTTTTGTGTCATGGTAAATATATTGCTATAAACATTTTTTTTCATTGTTTTTAAATAAAGTGAGATTCTGACGACCAGTATTTTATTTTTGTGTTGAATAATTTTTAATCATGTTTGGATAGTGTATCGCTATAAATAGTTTTTTTCATTGTTTATGAATAAAGTGAGATTCTGACACACATGAGATCAAAGGAGCCAAGCAGTTAAAAACAATTATCTTTCATGTTTTTTATTTAAAATCTTCAAAGTTTTACTCATACCAAGCTAAATACATGCAGTATTTACATCAACGCAAGTTAAAACAACCATGACAACAATCATGATTTTCAAACACTCAACAATAACACCAAATTAGGCTGTGAATAAATACCAATTAGCAGTAATCATACATAATTAACTTTTAATAATTAATCATCAAATCAATTCAAAACTATATTTCATGTGATACGTGTAATTCGAGTGACGAAACTGTGTACTGCCATTTTAATTTTAAAATGATTGAGTTCAAAATATAAATATTCATGTTATAACTTAGTAAATATTTTTCGATAATGTCTGATATTTATTCGTATGATATCGTAAAAGTCAAAAAAGTTCGAATGATATCTTTCCAGCATATTATCATTGCTTTCTCTCCCCTTACTTAATATATTCCACTGATTTACAATTGTTCTTAACGTGTACAAATGTAAATAAACCTGAATTGACATATTTTTACCTTAATTTGATTCAATACATTTAAACAATCTAACCAATGACCTTCGAGTTATTTATGACAATGATGTTTACGTATAAATGGAAATTAGTATGTACTGTATGCTAGCATTATCAGTGAGTATTATTTTTAGTCCACTGTAATATATTTAATTTATTAATAAACAGTTATCGTGCCAAGAAATCCTCGCTAAAAATTCCGGTCGACCTCCTACGGCATCCATTAGTAGTTAAAGATTTGAATTCAATAAATTAATTTATGACCCGCGTGTACGTCTCACTTAAAACACAGCCATATACCAAATGGTCAAAATTAATCATCCATGTAATTTGCTCTATGGGATGTTTGCAAAATTTCAACGGAGGCAATTTCTTGGCATGCAAAGGTACCCGGATTATAATTTAGCTTATAGGCTTCCTACCTAACATGCCTAATGTAAATGAATTCAGTTTGTCTTTCGTTTTTGTGATTAATTTGCAGAAGCGTGTTTCAGTTTGTAACAAACACTCATTTTCGGTCTCACTAATTAGCGACAAAGAATTTTAGCGACAAGAAGCGTCAAGAAGCGACAAGAAGAATAAATTTAGCGACAAGAAGACTATTTAGCCACAAGAAAACTTAATAAAAATATTATATTAAAAAAATATGCATTGACATTTTTCTTTTAATATACGGAAAGTAAAGTGATTTTCATTATTTTTTTTAAATATATTGATAGATATTGATAAATATAGACATTTCCCTGTCATAGTATGATATAAATTTTTACATGTTCTTGTGATTTAGAACAATAATATATTTATTTTATAAATTTTTTAACACTCTCTTTGTCTAAAATATAATAAACTGACCTGCATGCAAAATGCATTATACGTGAATCAGTGTCCAGAAAAGATATTGTTACTAAAACGTGAATATTTTATTTAGGTATTGACTTATCAAACGATATGTATGATGTTTATGCACAGTTTAAAATTGATTGAAGATTAAAGGTAATTAAAGACAATGTTGAGTGTTCAACAGTTGCTCACTATTTACAATTATTGTATATTCTGGCGCGTGTAGTTGTATAGTCTGACACGTGTACAAAGTTGTAGGTGTTAATTGAATGTTATTGTAGTAATACAATAAGGGACACACGTCCTTTACTCCAAGCATGAATCTAATTTGTTCATCATTAAGCGTCATTATGCTTCTATGAAAAGAAGTAATTCTTTAATACAAGAAAATAATCAGCTGGTATGAAAAAAATGCCTGGCCATTCTCTTGAAACCATGAAAAAGCAATAGCAGAATACATAGGTACCTATTCTATTAAACAAACAAAATATTGCTGATGATATATGCAAGCTGTCATCAATATTAATTCTTTGAAAGAAATTCTTCAGATCACAGGCAAACCTCCAAATGTTATCTTGACTCATTAATTTCTTCATCTATCAATATAATAAAAAAAAATGAAAATCTCTTTATTGCTGTCAATGCATATTTTTTTTAATATATGTATTCTAATAATATTTTTTTTAGTTTTCTTGTCGCTAAATAGTCTTTTTGTCGCTTCTTGTCGCTAAATTTATTCTTCTTGTCGCTTCTTGACGCTTCTTGTCGCTAATTAGTGAGACCCCTCATTTTGGATGGTAAATGTTGTTTGCAGATTTGCAGCAAACGTATGGCGCGGGAATAGTGTCACAATGGCGTTTTAATGCCATCGCATAATTCATTTACGCCATCACATACTGATTCAATTTATGCAAACATACATAAGGCTGTACCTTGACCTATAATGGTTTATACTTTTATAAATTGTTACTTGGATGGAGAGTTGTCTCATTGGCACTCATACCACATCTTCCTATATCTATGTATATACATGTATATAGAAAAAAACATAGATTTCATATAAGATTATGCATTCATTTGGCTTTTGTAAAAGCGGACTGGAATAAGTTTTGCTTAATGTCCACAGCAGGTTTCTTCAGATTTGCAGCCACTATTTGAAGGGGCTGAACTTTTTAGTATAAACTATAAACTTTTAAGGATATATATGCATTGTCTGTCTGGCAGTGGAACATCTAGCTGTATACTGTGAAAATTTAATCAAACATATATATTATAGATTTAGTATTTTATTCAATCACGAGTTGTTGTTTTTTTTTATAAGCTAGCTGTTCACGTTCAATTTGTTAAACACTTGTTGCATTTTATGTATTTAGAAACTCGATACACCTATTATATTGGTGATTCGAAAGATAATATCACTTTCTATAATCATAATGGTGTGTCTATTGATGAATATTGCTTATGCTCATCTGAATTTTTACCAAATATTGTAAATTTTAGTGTAGGTCAATATGAACCAACAATCTCTGATCACTGTCCAATTTCAATAACCATACTATCTCAATAAGTAAAGGAGCCATTAAATAATTATGTAAAGCTTACTCTTAGAAGAGTTAAATGGACTAATAAACGAGAAGAAATTTTTAAGTGTAATATGTTAAAATTAAACTTTAAAACTATTAACTCTGAATTAGATAATTTAACCCAAAAAATGGATGCAAATAACGCACTTGATTCCATTTTAGCTCAAAGTGTTAATGACACAGTCTCAAGTATATCATCAATATTATACAATGCTGCTTTTTTAAGTAATACTAATAAAACCCCTGTTATAGCCAGGAGAAATAAACGAAGAAAAGCAAAAAAGCCATATTATGATAATGAATGTGAATCTGAATACAGGTCTCTAAAAAGTCTGACTAGAAAATTGTGTACTGAGCCCTGGAATGATAGTCTTAGACACAAAGTATTATATCATAAAAAGGAATTAAATAAAGTCATAAGGAAAAAATATAGACAATTTAGACATAAAATGATAAAACAGATTATAGATTCAAATAATAGCTGTTCAGATGATTTTTGGAAAACTATTAAAAAACTAAAAAAGGAGAACTTCAAGGATCCTAGCTCTAACATACAACCTAAAGAATGGTTTGAATATTTTAATAAATTAATGAATATTGATTATGATAAAAATGTACTTAACGATCAGAAAATTTATACTGCTCTTAATGATTGTAATACTGAGATTTTAAACAGTTATATTACAACTGAGGATGTGGTTATTGCAGCTAAATCTTTAAAGAATAATAAAGCAAGTGGTTCAGATTGTATTACAAATGAAATGTTGCAAATATCTTGTAATATGAATATTGATGTTTATGTAAAATTGTTTAATCTTATTCTTAAAGTCTGGTATTTACCCAACTTTATGGAGAGAAAATTTTATTAAGCCCATTTTTAAGGGTGGGTGTTTTAATGATCCATCTAATTATCGAGGTATAGCCCTTTCAAGTTGTTTAGGAAAATTCTTTCTTAAAGTTTTATATAGTAGATTAGAAAAATATCTTGAAGGAAATAAAATTATTTGTTGAGAGCAAATTGGATTTAGAAAGGGAAGTCCAACAAGTGATCATGTTTTGACTCTTAAAACTATTATTGATAAGGCATTTAAATCATCAAAAAAGATATATGCCTGTTTTATAGATTTCAGGAAGGCATTTGATACTATTAACAGGGAGGCTCTCTTTTTACAAATTGTCTTATTACAACATAGATGGCCTCTTTTTCAGTATAATGAGAGATATGTATAAAGAGGTTTTGTACTCTGTGAAGATCTCTGAAGGTGTCACTGATTTTTTTAATTCCACAGTTTGGGTAAAACAAGGGTGTATTTTAAGTCCCACATTATTTTCTTTATATATTAATGATTTACCCCCTATTTTTGACTCCACATGTGATCCTCCCAAGTTAGATGATAATGATATTTCATGTTTGTTATATGCTGATGATTTAGTTCTTATTTCTGAAACCGCTAATGGCCTACAAAAATGCCTTGATAAGCTAAGTTTATATTGCACTAGTTGGGATTTAACAGTAAATCTTGACAAAACCAAAATTATGATTTTTAACAAATCTGGTAAAAAACTTACAAAAGACAAGTTTGTATTTAATGATAATGTTTTGGAACACTGTACAGAATATAAATATTTGGGTATACTGTTTAAACCCTCTGGTAGTTTTACGGAGGCAGTGAGACTTCTTTGTAAAAAAGCCTCAAAAGCTATAATTTGTATTAGAAAACTGTTATTTTCTGAAGATATTAATGTTTTACCTCACCTCAAGCTTTTTGATGCTTGTGTTAAACCTATACTTCTTTATTGTAAGGAAGTTTGGTCTCTATATATGATTAAAGATATTACAAATCTAGAGTCAAAATATTGGGCATAGGCTACCAATAAAATTCAGATTAAATTTGCAAAAACTTTAATTGGAGTAAATAAAACAGCTGTCAATTTAGCAGTACCAGCTGAACTTGGTATGTATCCAGTTTTTATATATAGAAGCATTAAAACTGTCAATTGGCTTCTGGTTGCATGAGATAAACTCTGGTAATAATTATATACTTAAAGATGTATATAGTTCAAACCTACAATTAACCAATGGATTTGCGAAAAAGATTGAACAGCTACTTGCTACATTAAATTTTTCACATGTTTGGGAAAATCATGATACTATTTCAAAAAGGCGTTTATCATTTTGTTTATTATATGCACTTCATACCAAACTCAATGATAGATATCTGAATTATTGGATAGAAAATATTTTTTGTGATGATAAATCATTGCACGGTAATAAGCTCAGAACATATAGGCAGCTTAAAGAAAATTACAAATTGGAAACCTATTTATTGTTAAATATTGACAGAAAAGTAATAGGACATTTTGCCAAAATTCGCATAAGTAATAGTGTTCTTAAAATTGAACAAGGACGACACACTAAAACACCTGTAGAAGAAAGAATTTGTCCCTTGTGTCTTTTAGAAGTAGAAGATGAATTTCATTTCACTATAATATGTACAAAACTAAATACAATTAGAGAACAATTATTTTCCAAAATTAGTGAAATAGTTCCCTCTTTTTTAAATATGACTAATGAAGCAAGATTTAAATTCTTGTATACCTGTGGTGAGACTGATATAATTAAAATTATTGTAAAATTCATAAGCACCATGTATAATTCTAGAAATGCTTTATTGAGTACTAAATAACTTTGTG